TGTATGTATGTATGTATGTATGTATATATATGTACATATATGTATATATATATATATCTATATATATATATATGTATATATATGTACATATATGTATATATATATATCTATATATATGTATATGTATATATGTATATATATCTATATATATATATATGTATATATATATATATGTATTTATATCTATATATAGTGTATATATATATACGAAGTATATCCGAAGTATATACAAAGTATATACGAAGTATATACGAAGTATATGCGAAGTATATACGAAGTATATACGAAGTATATACGAAGTATATACGAAGTATATACGAAGTATATACGAAGTGTATACGAAGTATATACGAAGTATATACGAAGTATATACGAAGTATATACGAAGTATATACGAAGTATATGCGAAGTATATACGAAGTATATACGAAGTGTATATACGCAGTATATATGATATGTTTAAATAATGTATAAATTATATATGAAGTATATAATATATGAAGTATATATGAAGTATACAATATACGAGGTATATATGAATTAATCATATATGAAGTATATATGAAGTAGATAACATATGAATCATACATCACACAACCAAATTATACGTATTCTACTATTTTATTTGACCAACGTATGCACAACACGCAAATGCATGACCCCATTTGATAGACAAAAAAGTTGCACATACCAGATCGCCAGCCCCGAGCTTACTGACTGTGAACCACATTCACTTAAAATATGTAGTAAGCAACCGGGAAATCTTACTAAGGCCCATACAAATTTGGACCCGGGCTTACAGAATACTAAACCCAACATTGTATATTTAGATAAAACTGAGGGCATGAACATGAAAACCAGGGACACCTACCAGGTCAATAGCAATGATATTGGCCCCCAACTTGCAGAGTGTAAGGAAAGGACCCATGGCACTACCAGCACCCAGCAGTACAAAGTATTTATCGCTCAAGTCGCGCCATTGATCGTTGGTCGCCGCCGCCTTCATGTACGATCCCGTGCTCTTCTCGATGACACCACGCTTGACCCATCGGTCTACCTAAAAGATTAAATATGGAAATAGGAAGCAAATAGGTATACTAAGTGTGCGGCTCACAACCCGCGGGAGATATGTTCATATGCTTTGCTATACGTGAAGTTATCTACTATCTGGATTACCTTGTATGATCAGGTGTATGGCAGATATGCAGTTCGCCACCTAAGAGCTACGATTAAATGGTACGAGAAGTACAACACCTTAAACTGCATTAAAACACAAGAGCTACGGAGCTTCTCCTTTTCCCTATACAAGTACCTTTGGAACTTTGACACTGCGCTGATGCGCCAGATTGAATATATGTAGCAAATACGAGAGCATACATCGCCGACTCGTACCTTTACCACGCTGGCAGAGTCAGTAAAACTCGGAACATAGAATAGAAGAATACTAATAACAGGTATACTAGACGTGCGTGCAACAACCAGAGATTTAAGAGGCCTCATCCGTGTGCCTCAACTCAAGTATGTACATTCGCGCAAGACGTAAAGATACATACCAGAAAACAAAAATCGGGTGTGTGCATGAGTGCGTATTTATGTGTCTATACATAAATCTCATCCATATAGTGAATCCATAAATCCGCATATCCGCATATCCACATATCCATATACTCATATATCAATATATATATATATATAT